TTATGTATTGATATATTTATTTATTTATGTATTTATTTATGTATTTATCTATTTATTTGCATTTGTCACGTGTATAAGTGATTGTCTTGAACAAGTGGTTGCTCGAGCAGGTTCGATTGTATAAACTTTGATACATTACGTCGTGGTCTATATTGAACTATTCTCTGATAAGTGCAAGTTTAGAATACTAAAATTCATTTTCCGAGTTGGGCTAAACCATGGCTTATTCTGTGCAAAAGGCGGAATTTTCGTAAACTCAATCTACTAATTTATAACGAGACTAATAGAGCATTTTGTATTTTGTCCAACTAATACGTATATTATTATTATTATTATTATTAATCGCGTTCCTCAGGCAAGAGTGGGGATTCAGTTCCGTTCTCGCGCTCGCGACCCAGCAGTACTGCCTGTTTATGTGGGCCAATCGTAGGTTTGGTTTGTAGTGTTTTCTTTTGTTTCAATGTATAACTTAGCCAAGCCATAGGCCTAGGCCAACACACAATAGCTTGAAGCCTCGTTTATGACGAGCTACTCGTACACGAGTGCTGGCTTCGGAGAAGGCGGTCACAGGGGTAAGCATGGTAGCCATGCATATTATTTTCATACAGACCTGTCTCGCCCGCCTAGGTCTTACCCACGCCCAAGGGATGTCACAGTAAAAAAATAATTATCACGGAAACCGATTCAGTATTATTGCCTCTTTCTAATCCCATGTAGGCATCTCGCTGGTCATCTTTAATACGATCATAGGCTTAGTACCAAATTTCAGCTTTCTACCTTTATTTTGTCATGGCCAGGTAAAAACTTTTGCCATGCCCCTCGTATTATATTATTGTCTTACGTTTTCAGAGTTTTCAGAGGTTCCTCATTCTTGTCCTTGACCCCTTTACTCTGGTCGACAGTGACAAAAATACATCTTGTGCATGCGTCCAGGGCCCTCAACTGAACATCTCCAATACGGATAGAGCTCCATGAATCCTAAAGTTCCGGTACCGGACAGGAGATGTTGAAAGGTTAGTATAATACATCGTTTGAACGCAAACGTACTGGAAGTAAAATTACATTGTATAATATATTATACTACTGAAAGACATTGATACACGACCAGTCCATCTGGAAATAAATTGGAAGAAGACTAGATAATATTCTCTGACCAAAAAAGGTTATTTCAGACGGAGGAGACCACACGAAGACTGTGGGGTAGAAAGCAACACCTTGACATAAGATAAATGCACATATATATCGGGAATTAGTTCTGATAAACATAGACAATAACGTTTTTTGTGTTCTTATAGGCCTATAAACATACATTTAGGATCAATGTTTCTCAGGATAAAATCAGCACAGCTACGCCAGATACGATGGGAAATCAGTCAGAAAAAACAACCCATAAACGAACTCAACGTAAACCAACTTGTGTCTCAAGAAAACCTACCCCCCTCCCTCCCTTTTCACCCTCATCCCTCATATTAAATCGGCTACAAAGGGGTACGTATTCCTATGAAATCAAAGCATCACAAAGTGGATTGTTCACGAAATGGCATAATGGTGACTGAACATATTTTAAAAAGTAAGTTATTTACCTCTGCAAAAGCACTACAATCATCAACAATTATGTTGGCTCTGAAATTCGTGATTGGAACAGGTGTTTCTAGCCTTGTGTTGAGGTCTGCGAGGGACGCATTGGACACAACCATGTATCCACAATTGTCTGCAAGTGCGAGCTGAAAACAAAATCAAATTAAAATTATGTCGCTTTCTAGAGAGCAATTGACTGCACACTGATGTAACTTTTTTAAAAACCCAGAAACCGGATATACAGAATTTTACTTAGATATGCCCGATGAGAAAGTTTTTGAACGGTTTATAGGTAACAAATAGATGGCTATGTGAATGGCATTGCTAACAGAACACCTAACTTAGTGTTCTCAAGACAGATTCGTTTCCCAGTCACTGATACATTATTATCTGCAACGTGTAATTCTACACAACGTTCTCTCAAAGTGGGCCCTCCGTTAGCTGAGTTGGCATCACACTTGACAACGAAGAGGACGGCCCTATGGTTCAGATCCGTATCTGAGCGTTCAAGGATTTTGCAGGGTTTTTTTTCTCGGTTTTCAAGGCTCTTAACTCATCTGGCACTGTGTTGTCGGAGATGGACGTTGAAATCGGAGATTCCACCTCTTAAATAACTTTCTTGTTGATAGGGGTGTTAAACCTCTACAACTACGACTCACTAAGTGTACAATTCTAAAACATTGTTCCTTGTTTATGAACGTTGGGCAAGCATCGCCAGTATAGCCTTTACTTAAGACAATGTCCAAGAAAACCCCTCTACAGGCAAAGGCTAAGTGGTCATAATTTATTAATATTCTATGACATGTTGTTCCTGGCAATAAGTAGCATGACTGTCATACCATATCTCCAGGTTTTGCTGGATTTTGCCACAACTTTTTTGCGTTAGATGCATCCCGCTTTTCCAGGTTTGGAGCTGAGTAATGTAGTCGAAGACCAGTTCTATCGAAGTAACGACAAAGCCAGTCAGCAACTGCATCCCCCATGTCAACTGACCTGATGGTATCTGCTTTGACACTGTGAATAGAACCAAAAAACCCACCTGGGATAATATTCAAAAAGGAAATATCTTAAAAGCAGTAATAAATGCTTCTAAATTAATTATTTCGAAACAAAAATTAGTAAGTGTTTTACGCACTTAATTGCAACGCAATATAAGTGCCGATTTCGAAAATAAATACAGAAAATGACATTTTGAATATAGAGTCTGTAAATGATTTAGTTAATTGATATTTAAAACAGGTCATTAAACTATTTTGAATAAGAAGACATATTTTCACTTATATAAAAGATTATTAACAAAATTGGGCTTTTTGCATTAGCTCTACCTTTTCTTGCGTAACTCATTCACCCTTTCTTTGTAATGTCTCTAATTATAATATTCCCTTGCACTTGAGGGGGGGGGGGGGGGGTTACTCTACTCTTCTTGTGTTATCCAAATTCCCTCAATCATATTCACTAATTAAAAACCCAGTCTCAAAACATTCTGGGGGTAACTTGTCATTATTTTTAAAAATGCAAGATTTACTTCTGGGCAAGATACCGAAAACTCCAACAAAATCTTGAGTACGCCTGCATTGAATAAGAAAGAGTTTGAACAAGACGGAAATTGTTCTGTACTCGACAGGCCATTTGTTAATTTAAATGTAATAAACATGCCCATATCTTTCATCTCCCGGAGCAAGACGCACGTGAAATAAAAGAGAAACAATTTCCACATTTTAAAAAGGAAATGTTTTGTTTGGGCTAGTTTATTATTTTTTTTCTTCTAAATTACAGGTCCGACTAGTTCAATACATGTATCATGTTTATCTACCTTTGGCCTTGACAAAGATAGGCCGTCTCAAGAAAGTAGATCTGTATCATCTTTAACATCCTTCTACCTAGGGGAGGGGGGTAAATTTTTCTTGGTGAGCGTCGTTTTTTAAAATTATCAATCTTTCTCCATGCGTCAAAAAGCAATACGGGTGAGACAAATGAATAGATACTGACGTGACTTTGCTGATATTGCTGTCAGTCACTGGTGGATCAGCTTGGAGAGAAATAGGTTCCATGCCTGGTGCCTTCAACATAATGTTGTCTCCGTCCAGCACCGGCTCAATCAAGGCCATTTTCGGAACTTGTCTTTGTGTGAGGTAAACGCCATCAGCGGTAGAAACTGCCCACTGCCTTTCAATTGAAGAAAACATTGACAAATTAATTAAGATAACAAAACCACTCGTTCGGAATACCAGGACACACATTGGAAAACAATGCAGTTACAAATACCACGCCAAACTATACTTTATTACGTCCCAATCGACCTAGTGTGATAGTTTAAGGGGTACGCAAACAAGAATATAGAAAACAACAACAACCAACAAACAACTAGAGTAGTTGCATAACGGGTTGGATTAAAACAGCTTTTAACATAATCATTAAATTTTTTCCTCTTCTTGGAGAAATCCAACTTTGCACCCCCCCCCCCCAAAAAAAGAAGAGAAATTGAAACAAACCGAACAAGACGTGATGTAGTTTTCCTCTATCCTCTCCTTTGACTTTGACCCTACAGGAATTTGATCTCAGTCAAAACGCTCCATTCATTACTAACACATGGCATTATGCTACATGAGTCATCTTCTTATTTTTTAAATGTGTGTGTGTGTGTGTGCGTGTGTGTGTGTGTGCGTGTGTGTGTGTGTGCGTGTGTTTGTGTGTGTGTGTGTGTGCATGTGTGTGCATGTGTGTGCATGTGTGTGTGTGTGTGTGTGTGTGTGTGTGTGTGTGTGTGTGTGTGTGTGTGTGTGTGCTTGTGTATGTGCTTGTGTTTTTGTGTGTGTATGTGTGTGTGTCTTGGTGAAATCAAGCGCTCATCAAAATAACAAATTCGAAGATATCGGCATTTCCCCCCGCTCTTTGGGAAGTTTTTATCGACTTTTGTTCTGAACACTTTTTACAAATTTCTGTGTTTATTTTACTGAAAAGCGTTAATCAAAGGCATAACAAATGTAAATTTGAAATTTCCAAGGACTCTCAATCTTTGAAAATCACCAAACTTTGGCAGTCATTTTTCTCTCTAATTTTACCTCTGACACGACGCGACCCCCACGTTCTTCAATTGCAAATATCACCACTTCTGTTCAAGATAGACGGTTTTAATATATACAAACGCAAGACAAATAAAAAAGATTTAAGATGACACCATTAACTCAATATGCCCTCTAACATCGACGAGCGCCTGATTCCACCTTGTCGTGACCCAAGAATTCACCTGTCACCAAAACTCCGCCATTGTATTCCCACAGATGTGCAGTCTGCATTTTGGACGTTCACGCCTTTAAAAGACTTGAAGGGATACACCCAGATGGACCCGACTTTCCCAACATATCGATATTCCTCTTTCTTTTGCTTTGGAAACATGAAGCCAGCAGCGTACTTCATCGCTGCACCAGCAGCAACTGCTGCAAACAATGCTGCAGGGGATCCTCTGTCCAACACGCTCATTGCCATAGCTTCCTACGGACCGGACATGGAGCAAAAGGAAAAACTTGTAAGTTGCTAAGGAAATGTTATTTCCGGTGAAAAGGTAATCTCTTTTGAGAACATGTGCTTCACTTTTCAGTCTAAACATTACTGAAAACCTGGATATTCATTATATATTCACTGATTTCAACATCAACTTTTATAAGTTTACATTAAGGTACGTAGGCCTAAGATTAACGCCTACTAACTGTATAGACAGTCACAACAGTGTAGGCGTTGCCTAAGACATGTTTCTGTTATTAATAATTTTCAGCATAAACATGATATAAAATAAAACTTGGTAATTCAACTTTTCTAATATTATACTGGCCATCAAAAACGAGATATCACTTTCTAATTGTGTTCCAAACCTGGACCATCAGCTCCGTTATAACGGTAGTCCCAGACGATACCAACTGAGCTAATGGTGCGCTCGGATAGGTGTAGGAGGAGAAACAAACAATACATACCACACAACTGAGCCCAAAACGCCAGGAACTCTAATCTCTCTAACCTACTTCCTTAGCACTCGAAGTCTGTCTGATTTCTCTCTACAATAAGTCTTATGCGCTGCTCTAGTATCTTTACGTTTATTTTCCCAGAGTGCCTTAACAAGGAGATGCCTATGTATGTTGTGCAGTCGCGTGTGTTGCCTTTTTTCCCATAATGGTACCACTATGGCTTTCTGCCAGTCTTCTGGGCATTTTCTTTTGCTCCCAGGCTCTGTTGAAAATTCACCTCAGCCAGAGTATACCGGTTTTTCCACAAGCTCTTATGGCTTCCGCTGTGATGTCATCTGGTCCTGGGGCTTTGTTCTTGGGGCTGGTTTTTTTAGTGCCTTTTCTATTTCACTGAGAAGTATGGGTGGTTCTGTTTGCTCTCCATATGATGGTTGGAACTCTTCTTGTTGTCCGTGGCAGGCGTCTGTGCTGAGTAGTTCTTGGAAGTAATTTTCCCATCTTTTCTTCGAGAATGGCATTTCCCTCTTTATCGTTTATAATGCATGTCGGGTTGTATGGGTCTTTCCTTACCCGCATGCTCTTCACACTTTTATAAAATTCTCTCTTGGGTTTTCCTTGCAGGTATTGGTCAGTTTCTCGCCATATATTTTCCATGCACTTTCTTTAGCAGTTTTGATGATTCTTTTCGTCTCTCTTCTCGCTTTCCTGTATTCTATAAAGTCTTCTTCGATCTTTGACTTCTGCCATTTCTTGAATTTCTTCTTTTTCATTTTAATTGCTTCTTTTTTCATCATTCCACCAGTATCTTGTTCTGTCTTTGTTTCACGTATTCGTTGGGTGCCACAGCTGTTTTTCTGTATTTCTGAGAAGGATTTTTTGAATGTTTGCCATTCATCTTACTTCAAGACAGAACGGTGAATGGCGAAACTGTAACTTTCTCTTCTAATCTGGATAAATGACAGATGGTGTGTTCTAAAGCATAGAGCACTTCGTAGAGGCATGATTGACCCAAATTGTGCCTGTCGCACTCGTACAACGGGGGTCAGAGCGTTCTCGGTAAAATAAGATAGCTTATCAGGACAGCGTACTTCATTTGGCCATCCATTAAAAAGATAAGCTAACGTTTTTAGAGAATATGATTAAAATTAGAACCTTGGCTAACTCTGAATATTCATGGATTTTTTTTCATCCGAAGTTGCAGCGTCTTATCTGAGGGCACCTCTCTCGAAAACAATCTAGCCTTGGGACATTTCATGCCTTCCCAACAACGGCTAAACTATAGGCTACATACTGCACAGTCAGTCCTACTTTCTGACAATGTTTATTGGCCAGTTAAGTGGAAGTAAACATAATGAATTATAATGCTTTTCATGGTCTGACACATGTCTAGTGGCAAAGCATAGACTCGTCGGTGTTCAAGTAGTTAGGCTCTCGAACTCGCAACCGGTAGGTCATGGGTTCGAATCCCGTCAGGGGCCTGACGTTGTGTCCTTGGGAAAGGTACTTTACACGAATTCTCCTCACTTAACTCATGTGGCAATGGGTACCCAGCCCAAGACAGAGAAATGTCTTGTCAGTTTGTTCGTGTTTTAAGCGTTTAATCAGCTGCTTGCACGGTACGCTTCCCGGGAAGCTGAGAATGTTTCTGAGTGTTCTATTGTCTGCTGGGGTAATAATATAGTGTAAAGCACATAGAACTTGCGGTTGAGCGGGGGTATGCGCTATACAAATGCTACTTATTATTTACTATTATTCTTTTTCTTTAATATTAACAGTCGCTCGCTGTCATAATATTATTATTATACATGTTGGCCTTATCTTTCTGGTGCTCGTTTCTGTGTGATCACGAAG